AAATTGAAATGGTATCAAACTTTAAAAAATTTGTTCAAATTCAACGAAAAATGTCACAGCCATTGGGCCCATAAAAAATTGTCCAACTTAAATTGGACTCAAATCCAAACCCATCAACCCGAGTTTGATCGGTTTGGGTTGTGTTTGGTTTCAACCGTGAATGAGTTGGTTTTGATTTGAATTATTGTCGAACCGAACATATTGGGTTTGGTTTGGGTTAGACTCAAAATCTATCCAACCCAAGCCATGCCCAGCCATGCCAGCGAAACGGATGTGCTTGTCATCCACAAGGAGTGGCATGTCTGGCTAAGGTTAAACTTGAGGTTTTGTGTTTTTTAATTTTTTGTAGGAAGAAAGCTAACATTCCAATGGTGATGTAAAATTGAACGTAAATTGATATCTTTAAAGTCGATAGATCTAAATCTACTCCAATCAAAGGATTTTTTTTAAAAAATTGGCTATTAGTGAATTGGTAGTTTTTTTTATCTCTTGTGGATCCGACAAATAAATCTAAAAAATATGAAATTTTACATATTTATTTTACATTTTCTGTCAAAAAAAAAAAAAAGCACTTTGCATTTATTTTGCATCTCTCAATTGAAGAGGTTTTCAATTACTTTGAAAATCTAAATCATAATTTAAATTTAATTTAGAGCACCATTGGACGGGGGCGCGACCCAAAAAGTTTTTCCAAGTACAGGCGATATTAACAAAGGTACAAAAAATAAAAACATTATATTAAAAATAAAATACTTTACAATTGTTTTTTACGAGTTGTCATACTTTGATATATTTGTACAATCACTTTATTAATAACTTTTAAGAATATATCTTTCTCCACATAAATAATAAAGATTATCATTTATCCACTCTTCTCCAATTTGATCAAGCAATCTATCCTTCACAATATTTATGGCAGAAAATACTCGCTCCACGATAGCAGTAGCAACTGAAAGAATTAGTGTCAAAGTCAAAAATTTGTAAACCAGCGAATATGCTCTACTCTTATTTGTCAAAACTAACCTTTTTGCAAGAGCTTCGAGGCAATTCAATTCTTCAAACTCTTTGTTAGAGAGTGTCAAAAATGTAATTATGAACTTCATCTTCCAGTGTGAAGAGATCTACTATTAAAAACTCTTGTAGATAAAACTCAGCACTCCTGTCAAAAGCAGAGGACAAATTTTGTGGACATGGACAAGCTACACAAAGGAGTAACTCAGTATTCTTCTTTGAGAAACGATTATTCAATTCTTGAAATTACATGTCGAAGATAGCAAAAAATAAATCTATCTGAAAGTGATGTAAGTTGGTCTTTTGTGGAAGATTACTATAAGGGCGATCACCATGTGCATAATGCATAAACACAGCATCCATATTTGAAACATCAATATGATAATGCTGACAAAAAGAAATAATTTGTTGCAAGAAGGACTCACATCCATCATCTCTCATAAATAGGAGTCGTTCTTTGCAAATTTTCATCATATCCATTGTATTGACAATGTCCTGATCTTTCCTTTGCAATGCCTTTGACACATCATTTGAAATCCCCAAGACACTTTTCATTATAGACGATTAAATGCAAAATCAAACTATTGTATTAACTCCAATAAATTGAATGCATCACTTTTTTTACCGCAACTACTAGATCCATTTTTAACAATTATTTCAAGTACATCATTAACAATTGTAAACATGCTAGTCAGACTGACCAAAGAATTATAATGAGATCCCCAACGTGTATCACCTGAACGTTGAAATATAGTTTCCTGATTAAGGCCTCGTCTACTTAAAATATCACAATTCCCCAATGCCTCAATAATAATATCTAAGAGTGTTTGATTGACATGAAAAATATATTCTAGAAAAGAAAATATTTTTGTCGTTTTGAGGAAAACAAATACCTACTTCTTCAAAGAAAATGTTTTCCTTAAAAACAAGGAAAATTAAGCAAAATTTTAAAAGTTGAAAAATATTTTTCATGGAAAAAAATAGCAATCAAACACTTCAAAGTAAGAATTTGAGTAAAAAATAGACATTTTTCATGAAAAATAAATGCAATCAAACACACTCTAATTATTTTTCTCAAAAAAGGTCACGTTTAGAAGATACTCCAATATTATTACCACATTAGCAACCACACGAAAGAAGAAATTAGTAATTGATATATTCTTCTTTGTCACAATTACAAGAGCTAGTTGAAGTTGACGAGCAAAATAATGAATATAAAAGGCACAAGGGTTTTTATTTAAAATGAGTGATTTTAGGTCATTGAATTAGGATTGTCAACGAGCCGAACCACGAACCGAAACTTGAAGAGCTCGAGCAAAAATGGTTTAGGATTTTTTGGCCCAAGCCGAGCCGAGCTTTTACTCGACTAAAAGATAAAAGCACGACCAGAGTTTTCGGCTTAAGCCTTAGCGGGCTGGGCCGAGTCAAGCTGGCTCTTTTTCTGGTGATATATCTAATTTTTTTTCAAGAATTTAAAATTTGTGCAATTTATATAGGCATGAATTTAAAATTCTGAATTTAAAATCTATTTTTAAAATTTTTAAATAAAGCTTGGCTCGACTGGCCGAATGGCCAGTGACACGGGTTGGCTAGGCTCGAGCTTTACCTGGGCCAATCCACAAGTCGCTCGAGCCGATGAGCTTTTTTGACATCCCTACATTGAATTGACATTGCATATTACTTTCTCCATCATAAACTTGTCCCCTCAAATTTGAAATGCCTATGAAAAGTTCATTTACAATTCCATTTTTCACATAATGTAACACAACTGACATTTGTTCATGTGTTGACACATTATGAGATTCATCAACTAAAATAGAAAAAAATGAATCACTAACATTAGCACAAGCACTTACAATATCCTTTTGTACCTTAATGATGTTAATTTGCGATTTTGAGGAGCATTTCCCAATGTCACAGTCTTAACCTTATGATTATG